GCTTTGTTTCATTTGAGTTTTCATTTATTTTTATTTCATAAAATATCTGAAGTTTTTCCTTTTTATTTTCTCTTTTCCTTTCTCTTTCTTTCGTGTTTGTGATTCAACAAATGACAATGGGATAAAATTTCTGAAGTTATGTTGGTAGTGCACTTATTCAAATATTTTGTGTTCTGTTTAGGTTCTCGCTTTTAATGGCAAACCTTTGAATAATCTGAAGAATTTGGCCAGCATGGTGGAGAATTGTGACGATGAGTACCTAAAGTTTGACCTAGAGTACGATCAGGTTCATTCTCCCTCCCTCTATGTTTAGCACACACTGTTGCAGCATGTATGCATGCTCTGCATTTTTGTTTTAATGGCTGAAATGCTTACTTGTGGGTGCAGATGGTTGTTCTACAGACAAAAACTGCCAAGGCAGCAACTTTAGATATCCTCCTGACACATTGCATACCTTCAGCAATGTCTGATGACCTTAGATGAACTTTACAACGAATGCTCATAAAAGGAACGGAGTATAGACTACGCCACGGATTTCATTTTGTCATGGAGAATAAGAATAGAAGCTGACAATTCATGGGTTCTTTCCGTTTCTGTGTACCAATTAGACCCTCAGTTGGGGTTGATGTCTTCTTCAGATTTGAACTGATTCTTATAACAGTAGAAGAAAGCAGCGAGGAAATGAAGTTTGGTTTTCCTAGATTGAGCAGCGTCTCATGATCTTACTTGTTTGTCGATTTCATTTCTTCCAGCTACAAACATTTGGGCAATATCATGTAACATTATTACCGGCTGATCCATTTGAGAAAATTATAGAAGTTGAGCTGTACAGTTCCCTGTCCCTTGGGTCATTTATGTATTTGCCGTGCTCTTTTTCATTTTATTTTCATTTCATTCCTAAAATTTTCCCACATATTTATATAAATATGACTCAATGATATGATCAATATGAGGCAGTGTTTTGGCGGATATAAGTTAGGCTAGTTGATCAAGAGAGTGTGCCCGCCGTCTTGCATCTAATCCCTCTCCCCTATCTTGATTGCACAAATAACATTAGAAATATTTAATAATCCAACTCATTTCACCGAATCCAGCTGGATTCACACCTTAAATAGTTTTTTTTTTTTTTTTTTTGGGGGAAAACCAAGGTATCCCC